CAGAAAGAGGCTGGTGCTGCTGCCCCCTGCCAGCGTTGCTGAGGCCAGTCTCCACAGAAACCCTGGCCCCCCATTATTACAGTATGGCTGCTTCTGGGGTCTCCATTGAAACTGGCCCAGCCATGTGAGCAGGGACTGCTGGGAAACGGAGTCCACTATTGGCTGGATCTGCCTTGCTGGCTACAGTTTGCCTGCTCCTGCCCTAGACGAAGAAGGGTACTCTCAACTACTTCTTTATGGTCACGTGGAATGGAGATAGCAACATACTTACAGCATTTCCTCCTGTATCTCCTCACTAATCCATTGACTGTCCCCATACAAGTGATGAAAGGGATGGGAACTGTTAGAAGAGTGCCCTGAGTGCTAAAAAAAGTCATTCCAAAATTTCCCTAGGAATTTTTCCAAGGAAAAAAAATAATTTCCTTATATGATGGCTCCTGTTTACACAAAACTAGGTTTTCAAGTGAGTCAACAACAGATACTGGTCAACAGTCATCATAGACAAGGGGCTAAAAATGTCTCCTGATGAAGCTCTTGGTCCTGCTGGACACGTCTACAGCAACGTAGTGTTCATGGGTGTCTCCATGTGACCAGTAGCTACTTCAATGTAGCGGCACGCTCCCCCATTATAGCACGCCGCTACAGCAAAGTAGATGCTAAAAATAACCCTACGCTGGGCCTAAGGTTTGTCCAGGTGGTTACTGCACCATGCTTTAGTACTTCCAAGAGGTAGTCATGAAGGAAATGTCATGAAGGAAATAACTGCTTGTACTATTGATGTTGCTAAGTAAATGCATGCTGAAGTCATTGGTGCCTGCAAACTATCACTGGAGAGGGTAGTAATTCATTATTTCTGAATATAAACATAATTATGATGCAAAAGAACACCATTAATCTCTCTCTTTGCATTTCGCTCCCCCATTGTATGTAGAGGCTTGACTCCCCATTGTATGTACAGGCTTGCGCTCCCCCATTGTATGTACTTCCAAGAGGAATTACTAAAGCACAGTGCAGTAACAACATTGCCATAGGGCAACATGTAGATGTACCCCTGCTCTGTCAAAGGGGCAGCAGGGGTTGCATTTTTATATAGCCAGCTAGAGATGTCTCTGACTTGTGGCAGTTCCTAGGTGGTGTAGCTACCTCTGTGTTGTTCTTCTACTGCCACCCTGTATAGGAGAAGTGTCAGGAGCCTGACAGGAACATAGTTGTACTCTGGCAGTCCCTATTTGGCATGTTCCTCTGTGTTTTGATTTCATCCCCAAAAATGATTTTCACTAATACAGTCTGGAAGTGATGGAAGGATGATTGTAGCTAGATCTTCATCCAAAAGGAAGTGCGGTCTCTTCATAAGGTCATGATGAATACCAATATACAATATACCAGTATAATTTGTAAATTAATTTAAGTTTGTTCATTGCTTTTGGGTTCCTGTGAAGAAAATAAATGAATATGGAAGATGTTGGTACCATTGACTCCAGTGGAAGCATGACAGGTCTGTAGGCTTTGTGTCAGATAAAAACAAACTTATTTTCTGAATAGATTTTTGAACTGTGTAAGTGTACGTTGTTTGTTCAGTCATCAGCAAATAAGATGTAGTGGATACAGGTAAAATTAGAACTGTAGGATTTGGTGTATTGATCTGCTTTGTGGCTGTGATAAGTTTATGAATGAATTTAGGACTCCAAATCTGAGGATCACTAGTATTAAAATGATGGTTGTCATAAATTGAACACTATGGAAGGCATGGGAAGATTGTTACACAAAACAGCTGAAATTGTGTGATATTTCAATCAAATACAAATATTTTTACTCAAGTAAAACTTTGTTTAGGGACAAAATTAAAGACAGAGAGAAAAATACCAAAATTATTATTTGGTTTCAAAAAACTTGTGATGTTAGGTTTAATGTACACAGCGTGGAGACAGACCATGATTCATATCCTCAGCTATATAACTGCGAGCAATTGATATAATTGTAATTATGGTCATTTATGCCAGGAGCAAATTTATTCCTGTATGATTTATTAAATAATGGGTTACATTATGTTAAGTTGTCTTGGCTGTATATTTGATATGGTCATAACCACAGGTATTTTTGAGAATGGAAGAGTTTTGGCTTGAAGTCTGAGGTGCTAAGGAGCATTCAGTTGTACTTCCAATGTTCTTTGATCTTTAAAGTAGTTGTCCGTGGTATGTTAGTCACAGGGGTCTCCTATACACATACGGGGAGCCTTCTCCAATGTGCTGTAATTCTAGTGCATTGGAACAGACTCAATTGTTCAACAAGTTTTAGTTCAAAGCACCCTGCTGCCATTTTTCAGCACAGGGATGCTGATACATGTGATGCACCAAGTGTTTTTAATTAAAGTGGCTCTTGGAGCTGCACTAACTAAAGTGTCCTCCTGTCCCCATGCCTCCCATAGCCTGTGTATAAATGCCCAGGAAGCCTAAGATGTAATGTCAATACCTGAAACTCCAGTCAAAATAGAGCCTTGCATGGTTCCTCATTAAGGGCACCTCATTGATTATGTGAGGCACTGGACATGTTCTTCAAATACCATTGCTTTGCTTCCTGTTTGCACGCTGCTCCTCACAGAAGAACCTCCTGTCCTCTGCACTGGCTATTTTTGCACCAGTTTTCAAATAGTAATGATAACTTGGTGCCACGCTAGCAAAGCTTTAGGATACCCCATGGGCGACTGGTGCCTCCTGAGTCCAGGAGGCACTTGCCCTGGGGCGGGGAGGCCCTCCCCCCCCCCCCAGCCAGGCAGTGACTGGGGGGGGGGTCCTCCCATGGCTGATTGCACCAACGGGGGGGGTCCCCCAGTGGCCGATCACACCAATGTGAGCTACAGCGGGGACTGTGGGGATCGCTTCTCCTGGTGCCCCCACTACCCAGCCAGTGCTCTCGGGGGGGGGCACCAACACTCTTGCCTGTGTCCCCTGCCCATCATCTAAGGGGGAAACACTGCTGTCAGGGGGTGCACCAGCACTCTCAGGGGGTGCATGTGCACCCCCATGCACCCTGATGTATTGCCACTGGGATACCCTTTTGAATTGTAGGGTCCTACATTTAGCCACCCATATCTAGTCAGCTAAATCGAAATGGTCTTGTTTTTTCAAAGGTATCAAACACCTGTAACTTTCTAATGGCCTTCAGCTTGAGTTGTGAATGTTTAACACCTTTTAAATGAGGCCAGTTTTAATTAAGATAAAGGGTTTAATTTTTGGCTCTGTCAGATTTCCTGAGTGACCTTGGAAAAAGAGTATGGACAGATGAGCTAGTTACTGTGGGATAACAGCTGGTGGAGCTTTACCACATTAACTGCTCCACATTCTCTTATGCCACAGTAATGGGAAACTAAACCATA